GTAAGGAATAAAAGCCGCCAAAATCATATTGTATCATCTCGTTGAGATCTGGGTTCATAGCATCTCGTTGCAACCATTCACTGAAAAGCAATGGAAGTCTGGGTCTGAGAGAGGATTACCCAAAAAAAAAAAAAAAAAAAACACCCCTACTAAGAAGTTGGAAGATATGCCTCCCTTACCCAGTGGCGGATCCATAAATTTTGCTTACAGGGGTCAACGTCTTACAGTTGCAACTCCTTGCATCCATGTCTGTGTTGGCGAAGCTATGTTTAGATTGAGAGAAAATGTATTAAGAAAATTTGGTGAGTTTTTGTGGATTTTGTTGAATTTTAGGCTTGGACAATAGATTGTATGAACTAAAAACTAGAGGTAACCCACGAGTGGCTAAATTTTTTGGGGGTGAATTATAAGCCCTTGTTGTTATATTTTCATCTTATATAAGCACTCTTTTTTCAGTATATTTTCTTCATCATATTTAGAACTTTTTGTTATTATACGACATTTGAAACAAAGAAAATATTGGAATTATTGATAATATTGTTGAAATATTTGGAAGGGATTGAAGGAAAAAAAAAGAAAAAAAGAAAAGATATTTACAAGGAATTGAAGTTACAAAAGAAAGTAATAATAAAATAAACACATCACATTTTGTTGGGCAGTCCACCTGACAAAATAAAAAAGACCTCATCCTAACACATATCTTCCCCCTCTCTCTTTTTTATTATATTTTCTTGCCTCTCTCTTTTTTAATCTCTCCCTCTCTTTTTTTTAATTCTTTTTTCCTTGTTCTCTCTCTCTCTCTCTCTCCCTCTTTCTTTATTCTTTTTCCTTCTTCCTCTCTTTTTCTTTTCTTTCTTCTCTCTCCGTCAGCTCCATATCTCTACTCTTTCTTCTTGCAGCCGGGCTAAATGTTAATTTAAGCTGAGAAAAAATAAAAGCCCCTGGCAGTAGCCCAGTTGAGGCTGTACTAAGGTCCGTGCCTGTTCTCATCCCTCCTCTCCACCGCCCAGTCTCAAAAGCCCAACACTTACAATCCCACCTAGCTGCACACAGGTTACCCCTTTCGGGCATTTCGTCGAACACTTTGCGAGGGTCAAGTTTGGCTACTCTAATGGAGGATTTCAGAGGTTGCAGGGGTCAATTGACCACCCTTGCTCCTCTGTGGATTCACCCTTGCCTTTACCGAATATATTTTGTTTTGTGAACAAAAAATGCATGTGTGCAATCAAAAGTGAGTCCTCCAAATCTCTGTATCTTGACAAACCATTAATAGGTGTATATCTTCGCTCTTGTTTTGTTTTCATTTTCTTGACTCTTTTACAGCTTTCAAGTACAAGAATGATTCAGTTCTTGAGGTTGACAAATGGGATTATTACAGTGGGAGCAAATTTCGTCCCACTAGAATATTCGTCTAAGATTCCTTCGTCTTCTCCGCTTCTCTCTCTCTCTCCATGCAAAACAGATCGGGGTAAAAGGACCACACTCGGGGGGTGTTGGCCAAAGGCCTTCCGATGCCTAAGTTAGGTAAGGTATTTCAAGGAAAACCGAGTGGCCGGAGCCTAGTGTCAGAGAGAGAAAGAATATGGTGGCTAGAGTTTTGGAGAAATGATTTCTGCAGAGTTTTAGTAGGAATTTAGACGTACCTTAACCTTTGTGTGTGGCCATCCTTTTATAGTTGTCTCGGAGGCTAGGGTTTTAGAGGAATAATTCCATAGATGAAAAGGAATTATTCCTCCCCGATTTGGAATTGATTTGATTAATTAGGGATTTGATTTATTGGGGTAAATCAAATCCCTAATTGTGGTAGGTATCAAATCAAATCCTAATTTAATTAGGTAACTCCTCGTTTAATTGGAAATTGGGGTAGGAAATCAATTCTCAATTTAATTAGGTAATCCTCAATTAAATTGAGTAACTCCCAATTAGGTTGAGTAATTCCCAATTATGTCAAATAATCCCCAAATGGAAGGAATTATTTGACTTAGGATATGATTTAATTCGGTTCCGCTGGTCAAGTTTGACACTCATGTTGAAGCCACGGAGGCATCCAAGTATGAGATTGTTGCTAATGCGTACAAGCTGGGATACTTGGATTGCAGGAATAGTGCTTCTCCTTATTGCCCTCTTGAACATGAAGACGGTAAGCAGCTTTATCTTGACCTGCCCCCTGCTCGAAGTGAGCAGAGCAATGTTGTGGATGCATAAGCAATTGAAGATCAGATAGCAAATGAAGCTTCAATGGAGGAAGACAACTCCCAAGGTGGCGTAGCTAATAAGGCTAGACCAGATGCGAAGGAGCAGGCAGGTGAGGCCGTTGAGTAGATGGTGCTGGTTGGCCGCTTTGTTATGGAATTTTCAGTTGTCTTTCAAACTTCAATTCTCGTTATATCTCGTAAGTGTATGTTCGAAGACATAACATTTGAAAGAGACTCCATTGAGTTGTACTCGTGAAGTAGCTTGCCTACAATTGAGGTAAAGCTTGTCGCCTGTGTGCGTATGTCGGGGACATGACGCTTGAAAAGACTCCATAAAGTTTGTACCCGAGAAGTAGCTTGCCTTCAGTGGAGATAAGACTTGTCGCCTGCGAGCGTATGTCGGGGACATAATGCTCGAAAAAGACTCCATTGAGTTTGTGCTTCGAGGAGCAGCTTATCTGCAATGGAAGTGAGGTTTGTTGCCTGCGAGCGTATGTCGGGGACATAATGCTCGAAAAAAACTCCATCGAGTTTGTGCTTCGAGGAGCAGCTTGTCTGCAATGGAGGTGAGGCTTGTTGCCTGCGAGCATATGTCGGGGACATAATGCTCGAAAAAGGATCTATTGAGTTTGTGCTTCGAGGAGCAGCTTGTCTGCAACGGAGATAAGGCTTGTCACCTGTGTGCGTATGTCGGGGACATAACAATTGAAAAAGACTTCATTGAGTTTGTGCTTCAAGGAGCATCTTGCCTTCAATGGAGGTAAGGGAGGCTCGTCGCCTACTTGAAGTCGAGCTGGTAAGCTGCAACTCGAACAATGGTCTTGTTATTGTAAGATGCCAGCTGCTGTTGGTATGATGCTGCTCGAACAATGGTCTTCTTGCTATGGTAAGACGTGAGCTGCAGCTGGTAAGTTGCGACTCGAACAATGGCCTTCTTATTGTAGCAAGATGTGAGCTACTGCTAGTAAGCTGCAGCTCGAACAATGACCTTCTTATTGTAGCAAGATATGAGCTATTGCTGGTAAGCTGCAACTCGAACAATGACCTTTTCTCGTTCTTCTTCGAGCAGATCAAGATTGACTTTCATCTGCTTGCAATTTTGGTCAAGACTGCCCACCTCAACAGCTCTTGGACTTTGTCAATGTACAAGATCATCCTTGGGTGCTTCGCCATGTATTCTTATGAGGCTTGATTTGTGGTCAGTCGGGAATCTAAGTAGATGGCTAGCTTCTTGATTGATAGCTCCTTTGTCAAGCGCAAGCCAACGAGCAATGCCTCGTACTCTGCCTCGTTGTTTGAAGTTGGGAAGCCAAGCGTGATAGCTTGCTCTAACAGGGTTCCATCCGAGGTGATGATGACGACGCCTACTCCAGCTTCATCTACGTGCAACTGCCACATGTCTCTGGGTTGGTCAGGCTCAGCGGAGGTTTTGTCTGCTCTCGAACTTTCCTTCTTTTTGCTGACCATCTTATCTTCTTCGGCCGATGGTGTGAATTCTGCAACAAAGTCTGCCAATGCCTGGGCTTTTATTGCAGTCTTCAGCCGGTAGAGGAGGTCGTATTGGCTTAGCTCTATAGCCCACTTTATGAGTTGCTGAGAAGCATAAGGATTGTGGAGGATTGATCTCAAAGAAAAGTCGGTCATGACGATGACTCGGTGAGCTTGGTAATAGGGTTGCAGCTTTCTCGCGGAAACTATAAGGGCCAAAATGAGCTTATCCAATTTCGGATAGCGAGTCTCTGCATTGAGGAGAGCTTTTGAAGTGTAGAATACCGGATGTTGGGCCCCAAGTTCTTCTCGGATGAGAGCTGAGCTGACGGCCGAGTTGGACACTGCTAGGTACACGAACAAGTCTTCACCAGGAATTAGCTTTGATAGTAGGGGAGGTGAAGTGAGATAAGTCTTTAGATTCTAGAAAGCTACTTCGCACTCCTTGTCCCACTTGTCTTTTTGTCCATTCTTCAAAGCTTTGAAGAATGGTCTGCACTTGTCGGTAGATTTTGAGAGGAATCTGTTGAGGGCCGCTGCTCTGCTTGTCAGGCTTTGTATTTCCTTCACTATGGAAGACGACTTCATCTCGAGAATGGCTTTAATTTGGTGTGGGTGTGCCTCGATTCCTCGTTGTGTGACTAAGTACCCCAGGAATTGGCCGGACGATACACCGAATGTGCATTTACTTGGATTCAGCTTCATGCAATACTGGCGGAGCAGGCTGAATACCTCGGCGAGGTTTTTGAGGTGGTTTGCCTGCTTAGGGGCTTTGACCAGCATATCGTCTACGTAGACTTCCATGGTTCTGCCGATCTGCTCATTGAAAATTTTATTCTCGAGCCTTTGGTATGTCGCTCCGGTGTTCTTCAGCCCAAATGGCATCCCTTGTAGCAATAGGTCCCTCTTTCGATGATGAAAGAGGTCTTCGCCTTGTCATCGTCGTACATCATAATTTGATTGTAGCCGGAGTAGGCATCCATGAAGCTGAGCAGTTGATTGCCGGAAGTTGAATCCACGAGCTGGTCGATTCTCGACAATGGGAAGTAGTCTTTAGGGCATGCTTTGTTGAGGTCGGTGTAATCGACGCACACTCTCCACTTGTCATTTTCTTGTTTCGCCACCAGAACAACGTTGGCCAGTCATTTCGAGTAGGAGACCTCTTCAATGAAACCGGCAGCTAGAAACTTGTCGATCTTGGCTTCAATGATTGCGACCTGCTCGGGAGCGAAGTTGCGTCTCTTATGCACCACGGCCTTGCTAGCAGGGTTGACATGGAGCCGGTGATAGATAATGTTTGGGTCGATACCGGGCATGTCAGATGGCGACCATGTGAAACATGTCTTTGTTGTTCTGGAGGAAGGTGGTAAGCTCCACTTTCTTGTCTGGGCTTAGGCGCGAGCCGATCCGCGTTTTCTTGTCTGGCTGATCAGGATCGAGGGGTACAAACTCAACGTCTTCTTCAGGCTTCCAACCTTTTTCAAGAGAGCCTTCTGGGCGGATTCCCTCGTCTTGATCCTTCTTGTTTGGATTTTGGCGCAAGCCGGTCCGTGCTTCTTTGTCTAGCTGGCCAGGATCAGGGGGTACTAACTCGACGTCATCCTCAGACTTCCAACCCTTTTCAGGGGAATCTTCCGAGCGGATTCCCTCGCCTTGATCCTGGCTTCTTAATTGCTATTGTAAGGTAGCAACTCTCTTTCCGTTCGGGCTTGCTTGTCTGCTACAAGGGCTTCCTACCTCGTTGGCAGCTTGCATTATGGGTGTGAACTGCAACTGCTTGCTCTTGAGCCATTGGGCTGTGCATCTCCTTGCCATGGCTTGGTCACTGTTGATCTACCCGATCCCGCCCCTAGGGATGGGGTATCGGATCTTCTGGTGTAGAGCAGATGTGATGGCCTCGATCTTGTTGGTCCATGGTCGACCCAAGATTCCGTTGTAGGGGAGATCTCGTCGATGACCATGAAGGTGTGTGAGCATACCACTGGGGGTGAGTGGATTTCAAGGTCGATCGTTCCAATAGTGATTGACGTGGCCCCATTGAAGCCGGTGAGCGATCTGGCAAGTTTGCTAATCTTGGGCTCTAATCCTATTTGTTGGATAACAGATAGTTGTAGGATGTTGGCTGTGCTGCCCTCATCTACGTGAACTCGCTCGATCTCAGGTTGTTCAATTTGGATGCAGATGACTAGGGCATCATTATGCGGCAAATCAAGCCTGATCAAGTCCTTCTTATGGAAGCCGATAATGGGTGTATCCATAGTGACTAGTACTCCTGTTGTGACTTGAGAGACATAAGTCGCTTGCCCGATCTTTCTCTTGCGCTCCTTGGTGGTCAGCTCGGACTATTAGGAATAAGCCAGAATGGTGTTGATTCGAATGACCTTTTGGGAGGGTTCCTTGGTAGCTGCATCACGATCTTCGATCTGCTGGATGACCTTCTTTGCAACGAACTTTGTGCAATGGCCTTCTCTGACCAGCTCCTCAATGTGCCTTTTTCAAACATTGCAGTTGTTGGTGTAATGATCGTACTCCCCGTGGAATGCGCAGTATTTACTGGTGTCCCTCTTAGAGGGGTCTCCCCTCATGGGTGGCCGTCTTCTCACCCACGGCTTGTCCTTCACTTGTGCTAGGATCTGGTGGATTGGGATAACGAAGTCAGTAAAGGTCCCTGTTTCTGAGCCTCCTTCTTGGGATCGCCATCTGCGTTTATCTCGGGCTTTCTGCTCGAACTTGTTGCTCTTTTGGCTTGCCTGCTTCGTCGGGTGGTCAATTTGCTTGCTGGCTTTCTTCGCGGTGATACGATCATCTTCCCAAAGTGGGTAGCGCTCTGCCCTCGCGAACACTTCCCTCAAGGTTTGGCTTGGAGTTATGGCTAGCTCCCGGTATAGCTCGTGCTCGGTTGGCAAGCCCTTCTTGAAAGATGAGGATGCAACTTGGTCATTGCATCCTATGATGTTAGCTTTCTCAACCTTAAACCGTGTTAGGTAGTCTCGTAGAGACTCGTCTGGCTTTTTGCATATGTTGAACGGGTGGTCTGCATGCTTTATGACCATTTTGTAGGAGGTACTCCTTTGTGAAAATGAGGGCGAACTCTTTGAAGTTGCCTATCGACGCAGACGGTAAAGTGTGGAACCAATCTTGAGTTGCTCCTCGCAGAGTCATCGCGAACACTTTGCACATCAGGGCGTCATCTGCGTTGTACAGGATCATGACGCTTTTGAAGTGCCTTAAATGGCTCTCAGGATCAGAGTCCCCCTTAAATGGAGTGACGAATGGCGTTGTAAACCGCTTCGGTGGCGGAGCTCGTTCCACCTCGTCGGTAAAGGGCGAGCAGTCAACTCGATCAAGTTCCTTGCACAGGGCCTCCTCCGTGCTTCCTTTAAGTCGGAGACCTCGGAGTTGGTCATTTACTAGCTTCTCCACATCGTCTGCTTGCAAAGTTAGAGTCTCGGGCCGACGTCTTCAGTGCCTCGAGCTCGACTGGCTAACCTCTTCCTCGGTTCCCAAGGGTCGATCCTTTTGGGTGTCCTGCCCGTAGGGCAGATTAGGAGATTGAGTTTGTGAGGATTCCTCTGCAGCTTGTCGCCGCGTGTTGGTCCTCGAGCGGGCTGGTGGGCGTTGGTCGCTATCCTCTGCTCGCAAGGAAGGTCGCTCAGGTCGACTAGCTAACTTCTTCTTCAGCTCTCAAGGGTCTATCCCCTTGGTTGCCCTGCCCGTGGGGCAGGTGAGAAGTTTGAGTTTGGGAGGATCCCTCTACAGCTTGTCACCGTGTATTGGTCCTCGAGCGGGCTGGTGGGCGTCGATCGTTGTGCTTGTCACGCGACCGCTCACGATCTTGAGCTCCTTGTGGGCCCAAGCGAGCATGGACATTGGAGTGTGGGCCTAGCCTCTTGAGCGCATTAGTCCTTGGACCTAACCTCGAACGGCTTAGAGTGCGGCTTGCAGCTGTCTGCGTCTCGTCTGCACGATCTTGCTCTCTCCCCTGCCGGTTCGCCCTTGTCTGACCAGCTTGAGACCTCTCGAACTGCTCGCCAGCATGCTCGTGCGCCCTCCTCTCCTCATCACGGGGTCCAAGGTTAGGGCCTTGATCTAAGTTGATCTGCCTGAGTAGCTGGCCAATCAGGTTGTTTTGATCATCGACCTTCTGTGTGAGTTGATCAAGCCGTGAGTTAAGGTCCATCTGACTGTGCTGGTCAAGTAGAGTGGTGTGCATCGGGCCAAACGACATATGGGCTAGGGCTCCATTAGACGCGTACACATGTGCATATGTCAAGTGTGATTGTAGATGAGGGAGAGAATGGATATGCTCCAAGACCGGGACGATGTCGGAGTAGCCGTAGGGCTATGCAGCAAATCCGGCAGCTGAGTGGTGTGGCTGCTGTTGTGCTCCGACAGCAGGACAGCGAGGCAGAGCAGCTTCGGCAATTGGCGCTGGCGACTGCAAGGCTGTGGAGGTCCTGGGGTCATGTGGCGGCTGTTATGCAATTCCAGCAGCTGAAGGCGGCTGCAAAGCACTAGAAGATGGCTGCAAGGTGTTGGCAGCCACGATTCCGTGCGGTTGCATTGAGGTTTCCACCATGAAACCATGAGATGGGCCCGTTGTGGTGGCGTTACTCTTCGTACGTCTTGTATCAACCATGGTTGTTTGAAAAAATGTGTGAAAGATGGATTTGGAGCATGCTTTGAATATATCTCGCACTCTCAATGAAAGCACCAATTTGTGGGAGCAAATTTCGTCCCACTAGAATATTCGTCTAAGATTCCTTCGTCTTCTCCGCTTCTCTCTTTGCCTGCAAAACAGATCGGGGTAAAAGGACCACACCCGGGGAGGTGTTGGCCAAAGGCCCTTTGATGCCTAAGTTAGGTAGGGTATTTCAAGGAAAACCGGGTGATCGGAGCCATGTGTGGTGGCCAGAGTTTAGTGTCAGAGAGAGAAAGAATATGGTGGCTAGAGTTTTGGAGAAATGATTTCTGTAGAGTTTCAGTAGGAATTTAGACGTACCTTAACCTTTGTGTGTAGTCATCCTTTTATAGTGGTCTCGGAGGCCAGGGTTTCAAAGGAATAATTCCATAGATGAAAAGGAATTATTCCTCCCCGATTTGGAATTGATTTGATTAATTATGGATTTGATTTATTAGGGTAAATTAAATCCCTAATTGTGGTAGGTATCAAATCAAATCCTAATTTAATTAGGTAACTCCTCATTTAATTGGGAATTGGGGTAGGAAATCAATTCTCAATTTAATTAGGTAATCCTCAATTAAATTGAGTAACTCCCGATTAAGTTGAGTAATTCCCAATTATGTCAAATAATCCTCAAATGGACGGAATTATTTGACTTAGGGTCTGATTTAATTCGGTTCCCACAATTACCACTGCAACACAAGCAATCCCATAATCGCATTTGATAACGGGAAGAGCATTATGAAACTTGATAGGCCTGGCCCCTTCTATTTTATCAGTAGAGCTCCTGATCACTGCAAGAATGGCCAGCAGATTTTTTTCGAAGTGATGGATCCACGCCTGATCTCACAGTCTCCTCCACCTGAACCGTGCTTGTCTGACTCTCCTGCACCCTCACCAAGCTTAGGAGTTGCCATTGCAGTTGCACCTTGTGCACCTTTTATGGCTCTTATTGTGACATTTGTAGCTTCAGTATGTTCCTCACCATAATCTTCTTCCACTTTTTTTATTTTTTATTTTTATTTTTTCTTATTTTTTATTTTTTAAATTCTGGCTGTTAGGATCTATTGTGACTCCGTATTTTGCTTTAAATTATTCATTAATGTTGAACATTATTTATCATTTATGTAATGTTGGGATGGGATGTATGTTTGACGATGATGTTTTTTTTTGTCTTAAGGTTGTTGAAGTTTGATGCTTATGTTTAATTCCTCTAGAGATCTGCTTTTACGTAATAACAGTTTTTTGACACAAATGATCAAATCACACAGAAAGGAAACTTATGCAAAAGCATATGCTAAATGGGAACCCAAACTCTTAAACACTGAGAGTGATTACATCTTCATCCTCTGTTGGGTGATCAATTTCCCACTCCTAAGCAATTCTTCAGTACGTATGATATCCCGAATCTTGAGCACTGGCAGTGTCTGAGTTTATGGACATTAAATCGTCTGATCCTTCCTGTGAACTTTCTTGTCCACTTCCCTTTGCTCTCTTCTCCGCCCTTTCTCTTTTCTTTCCTTTGCTGTCTTCTCTGCCCTCTTCTGTGCTCTTCTTTGTGCTCTTTTCTCCAATCTTTCCTTGGTAACCTTACCTCTTTCTTTCCTCCACTGTAACTTCCTCAACCAGTGTCTGGCGAATGTGACACCAAGAAATAGAAAAACAGATCCCATAGTCCCTGCACATACAGATATGAGAGCCTCAAGGGTCCAATTTGTTCCTTGACAGTGTGGCAAGATCACCAATGTGGCTGCAATGTAAGCTGTGGCCATGAGTGACACAGCCACCCACATGGCTTTGTGAGCAACCACCAGTAGCTTCATCAGTGTTTTACGCTGGAAGGGAATGATGCTCACTAAGACAATGACTATGCACATAGATAAGAACAACGCAGCTGTGTTGCTTATTGTGAAGACCTTGAAAGCAGTTGTTCTTCCAATTGTTGACTGTCCTTTTAGTCGTCCTTCCTGGTACACACCCCCAGGAGGGTTTATGCCAGCGGTGAAAGTAACTGATGCAATCAAAACGGCAACTAGTGTGATTGTGTTCCTGGTATTTTGTAGGGCCTCTGTATATATCTCATATTGCCTAACTGCACTTATTTTTTTCTTCCCTCTTTCCTTCACAAGCTTGGATTGATGCAAATTGGTTGGTGGTGCAGAAGGACTATCTATCTGGTTGCCAAAGTTTATTGTTACTTGATGACTGGCATTACTATCCGCTTGTGTTGTTGTGAAGTCTTCCATTGGTTGGTTGTTGGCTACACCATTTCTGTAATCATGTACACTTTGGTGCGGATTAAATTCAATAGGCGTTTCTAATTCTTGTGCCGTTTTGCCACCAAATCTCTTCAACACGTCCCTAGCATGCTGGTTCTCCGTCATGCTAAATCGCCGGTTGAGGATGTCATAGGCTGTTTGACCACTATGGTTCCGACCATTGATATCCACCTCAGTTTTCTCAATGATGTACTCTGCTAACTGAAATTTCCACATGTTGAAGGATCAGTCGGAGTTGAAGAAGCCAAGATTTCCGTCTTATGGTTCTTCACTTAATAATGTTAAATTTGTTCCTCAAGAGAAAAGCTAAAACTGAACGGTAAATTTTGAGGGAGAAACTTACTTTGAAGCCCTTTTTAGAGACTGCTAGATGCAAGACGGTGTTTCCACGTTCGTCTGGCCGGTGGAGGAGATTGGTGCTGTTAAGAGATTGTTCCAAAAAGAGAAAGGAACAGTATCGGCTGAACATGGCAGCAAGATGAAACACTGTTTCTCCGTTTCCGGTGAGAACTTCGAAAGATCTAGGAGACCCGGACAAAAGTTCCTCAAGGATTTCGGTTTGATCATTCATTGCTGCCAAGTGTGATGGCGTGTAACGAGAATGATTCTTTTCAAGGGCAAGGTTTGGATCAAGTTGTAAGAGTATTCTAGTTATCTCCAAGCGACCGTTCTCACAAGCCAAATGTAATGGTAAACATCCATTGCTGTCAGCCTTCCGAGCAAGCCTTGGTCGTGCATTCAAAAGTGTTGTAACAATATCTACAACATTGTTAGCTCAAAATGTAAGTTCACAATCAACCAAACATCATTGCTTTAACATGAATTAGGCATAGAGAATGAAATTGCTGTCAGCCTTACCCGCACGGCCTTGTGCTACGGACACATGAAGAGCACTCAAAACCGCATCTTCTTCAAAATCTAGTACCCATGGTAGGTCTGTGAACAGCTTCACCACTTCACGATTCCCATAACTGCAAGCTATGAAGAAGGGGGTTTGATTTTCAGAGTTAAGCATACAAGCCACCCAAGGATCGGCCTCTAATAGCAGCATTACAACATCGGCTTTCCCTTGTCGACAAGCTGCATCTAA